TGGGTGACCCAGCTGCCAAGAGTCCATGGCCTGCGACTGTAGGTGCTGCTCTCATGGCTTTGTTCTGACCCCACCCAGCCCTGCTGCCTGCAGCTGTCCCCTGAATTGGAACCTTACCTCCTAGAGGAGGAGGAGGCTCCTTAGGCTCAGAAAATGAAGCTTCTGAAGTTTGTGAGATTCCCATGGTTACATAAGCAGCAGCAATTGCTGCAGACAGGAGACTCTGCACGTTTTCCTTGCAAGACAAGCGGGAGCCATCACCCACAGGCCTTCAGCGTTATGGCTGCCTCTGGGCCACGCATGCTCCTGCTGGTCCCCTCTGCAAACACTATGGTTAATTATTAGAGAGTTGAGGGGTGAAGACATCAGGTCATGCCTGTTCACCCCGACACCACCCATCAGCACCTGCACCCCGACACCACCCATCAGCACCTGCACCCCGACACCACCCATCATCAGCACCTTCGCACTCCGCCCCAGCAGGACTACTATATTACGTGTTACACACCTGCATGGGGTGTATTGGGGGGACCCAGGGAGACAGTGGGTCTTCTGCCAGGAGTGATCCTGACAGCTGTGGCTTCCAGGCCAGTGTAGACCAGGCTGGCCTGGAACTCACAGAGATCTGCTTGCCTCTGCCTCCTGAGTGCTGGGCTTAAAGGCATCCTGAATTGTCCTCTCTTACAGAAGGGAAAGCAGACCCAGAGAGGTCTAGACATTCACCCAGGGTTATACAGTGGGTCAAAGAGGCACACACAAAACAAACAAACCAGGGCTATCTTCAGCTACATAGTGAGTTTAAGGCTAACCTAGACTATGTGAGACTCTTTCTTCAAAAGAAGAAAAGAATGTCTGGTGTGTGTGTGTGTGTGTGTGTGTGTGTGTGTGTGTGTGTGTGTGTGTGACTCCTGGCATACTCATGTGCCCACAGTGTTCACTAGTGGCCATGGGCAGCACATATCCCAGGTTAGTGCCTGGGCACTGAACACTGTCAACAGAGTCATGGAAAACCTATGCTTGGTGACTGCTGGATCAGGCCCTCAGTGCAGAGACTCTGGGAAAGAGAGAGCCGAGCCTGGCCCCAGTCTGGATGTCCTATATCAGCTCCCTGTCCCTGACCCCGGGGTCTGGGTGTCCTACACCAGCTCCCTGTCCCTGACCCCAGAGTCTGGGTGTCCTACACCAGCTCCCTGCTCCTTCCCCTGACCCCAGGGTCTGGGTGTCCTACACCAGCTCCCTGTCCCCTTCCCCTGACCCCAGAGTCTGGATGTCCTACACCAGCTCCCTGTCCCTGACCCCAGAGTCTGGGTGTCCTACACCAGCTCCCTGTCCCCTTCCCCTGACCCCAGAGTCTGGATGTCCTACACCAGCTCCTTCCCCTGGCCCCAGAGTCTGGGTGTCCTACACCAGCTCCCTGCTCCTTCCCCTGACCCCAGAGTCTGGATGTCCTACACCAGCTCCCTGTCCCCTTCCCCTGACCCCAGAGTCTGGATGTCCTACACCAGCTCCCTGTCGCTGACCCCAGAATTTGGGTGTCCTACACCAGCTCCCTGCTCCTTCCCCTGACCCCAGAGTTTGGGTGTCCTACACCAGCTCCCTGCTCCCTTCCCTGGCTCCTGTTAGTGCCAGGGCTTCACATTGTGGAAAAAGTCCTTCTGAGTCCATCTGTCCATCTGTGTTTCCTGCTGATCACTTTGTTTTTCAGGCTCTGAGAGCCCTTTGGGAGCAGGACATGGGGGATTGGGGTGGGGATGGGGTGGTCTTGTTTCTTTCGCCTGTTTGTGGCCTGGGGTCTCAGACCAAGGAATCAAGGAAGCCACATGGGGTAGGGACCTGCTCTAGCCAACCCCCTCTTCTCCTACTCCCTCACTCCAAGTCTCCTGGGGGTAAGATGCTAGGACCTTATGCAATGTGTGTGGTGAGGGGATCTACACGCATGCCTGAGGCTGCCTGGGCAGTTGGCCAGGCCCTGCTCTGGACTGTAAAGGGGTGGCCTTGTCTCCTATTTCACCTTCTGGTGAGATCCTGTGAGACCCTCTGCCAGGCTGATATGGGACCCCTAACTGTAAGCCACCTTCTCCCCACCTAGGGTTCATTACACTCTGGGTGGGGGGATCTGAGAACCCTGGGTCTGATCAGCATGTCCACACTGCTTGCCTGACCCCCAAGGATGATAGTCCAAGGATGGGCTCAACGGGTCATGGCCAGTCTGGGGCCCATGTAAACAGACTCACTGCCCTGTGGGATACACAACACATGCCACCAGCCTGTGTGTCTGTGCCCATGGTATAGCCTGCTGGCCGAGGGTGGGAGGACCACTGTGTGGTGATTCAGGACAGGCTTGCAGGTCTTTGTGATGGGGAATCTGCACTTCATCCCAGCTGGCCTGTCTGAGAGGGTCCTCAGGGACCATCCGGATCCCCAGTAAGCCGCTCTCTTCTTTGAGCCCGCCTGTTTTATTTCACACATTCCTTTCTGAGTGAAATGATTGCATTTTAAATAAAGAAATTGCATAGCATGGGGGCTGACTGGATCTGACTCAGCTGCTCTGTGAAGGCATCTTATTTTATTTGTTTATTGTGCATGAGTGTGTGGAGTTTGAAGACAACCTGTAGGAATCAATTCTCTCCTTCCACCATGTGGGTTCCTGGAATCAAGCTCAGGTCTTCAGGCTGGGTGGCGAGCGCCAATAATTCCCCACCCCCATCCTGCCAGCCACCTCACCAGCCAGGAGGATGGGTTGGGGGCATTGGGTGTGGCCCTCATCTCCCTCCTCAGTGCCTTGTGCTAGGCTCTGGGAGCACCATCCCTGAACGTTGCTTGGGAACACTGCAGTCATAAGTGAGGTCACTGCGGGCTGGTGGAGGTGGGCAGGATTGGCTGTGGTGTGGCAGGTGGGGAGCCTTGGGAAAAGTATGAGCACTTACAGAGAACAGACAATCGTGCCAGGAGCAGAAGGCTGAAGAGTCCGTGGGCCAGGCCGCGTTCCCCAGGGTTTAAACATCCGTATCTGTCATGCCGCCTCGTGGCTGGGAGGTAATGAGTCTGGTCCCAGCCTGGGGGTGCTCCTATGTGATCAAAGTTCCCTCAGTGTGGCCAGGGACTTTAGGAGTCCCTCAGACTCACACCCTCAGAAGGGTTGTCCATTTCCCCTCAGTCCTCGGGCTCCCTGAGGTATGGAGGTGTACCTCCCCAGCTCATCCTATCAAAAACTGTCGTGGGCAACAACAACTCAAGAGACTTGAATAACATGTTTATTTTAACTGCAATTTATTTCTTTTACCTTCCATTTATGGCTTGAGATTCAGTTTTCCTCTTGACTGTGGCCACATAAAGCTCATGTCTGGATAGTTTATTAGGTGGAAAAAAAATTATGAATCCAGTAACAGGATGGGTAGGAGGCCGTGGAGGGGATCTTTTGTCCGCCACCGGTCCAGGCCAGGTGCGGCAGCTTGAAAGATCCACATCTGAGTACAGCACGAACATCAGGGTGACCCCTGTGAGCCTGTGGCTGGGGCTAAGTGTGTCTTTACACACTTAAGTGCCCATCCCCACTGTACCATGGGGGACTGATGTGACACTAACGCTGTCGGTCAGGAAGGTGAGGCTCACAGAACACAAGTGATCTCTACCTACCAAACTCGTGTAACCAGGAAGTTCAGGGGATGGTGAGTCTTGCTTAGAAGGGAAGGGTGTGGGCAGATGTGAGTGTGCAGCGGTGATGGTGGAGGACAGTCTCACATAGCCCAGGCTAACCTAGAACTTGATGCGTTAACCAAAGATGACCTTGAACTTCCGATCCTCCTGAGTGCTGGCATGACCGGTACATTCCAGCATTTCCAGTTTTCGCTGAAGTGGGAATGGAACATGAGTCTTGTGCAGCATGGGCAAGCATTCTACCACACCAAACACACTCCCAGCCCATGGCCCCCTCTTCTGCGGAGCCCCCCTGAGCACTCTCTGGGGTTTTCTTACAGGGTGCTGCTTTCCACCTGACCAAATCTGTGGGAACACGTGAGCCGGGAATCCCAAGACATTCTCTCTGTGACGCCACCCACACATCGGCTGGGGTGTCTGCTAGGGGGCATTCTCCAGAAACCTTTGTGAGCAAATGGATGCTGTTCACTGTTGGCTGCAACCCGCCTTCCTGTGTTAGATGAGAAGGTCAGGCTGGCGAGGGCAAGCTGCTTGCCCTGGGACGCACTGCGAACCCCAGCATCTGTTTGCCTCAGAAGATGTCTCGCCCTCCTCAGACTCCCCTGGGCTGGAGTGTCAAGCTGATCACTCCTACTGCGCTCAGGAAGGGGCCAGGCAGACTCTGGAGGGGGCAGGCAGCAGAGGCACCGTGATCTCGTGATCTCCAGTGATCATGGGCAAGGGTGGTGCCTCCCACAGGACCAGGAAATGTTGAGTTTCCTCCTTGCTTTATGAACCTCTCGGTGTGGAGCCAACAGTTTCTGGATGGATTTTTTTTTTTTTTGGTTTTTCGAGACAGGGTTTCTCTGTGTAGCTTTGCGCCTTTCCTGGAACTCACTTGGTAGCCCAGGCTGGCCTCGAACTCACAGAGATCCGCCTGGCTCTGTCTCCCGGGTGCTGGGATTAAAGGCGTGAGCCACCACCGCCCGGCTCTGGATGGATTCTTAATAGCCTCATCCACTCATTCATTAGTTCATTCACTAATTCAATGAAGTATCCTAAATAAATAAATAAATAAATAAATAATGCAAGTCTTTTCGTTTGTTTTACTGTAATGGACTACCAGAGGCAGACAGCTTTATAAAGAAGAGGTGGGCTTTTGTTTTTGTTCAGGTTCTGGAGGAGCAAGCTCAAAGGACTGCATCGGGGCAGAGTCCCAAGGTAGTTAGTTCAGTGTCCTTTGGTGAGAGGTAAAGAGTGTGAGTGTGTTTGTGTGTCTGTTCTCTTTCCTTGAAAAGGCACCAGGCTTTCCTTCCTCCTGGCTTGTTGAATATTAACTGTGTCTCCACCTCTAAACACCCTAGGTTCCACCTTCTTACAACACCTGGAGACTGAATTGCCAGAGGAGTTTGGGAGTCCCCATCCATTCAGACCAAAGCAAGGGAGAATGTCTGCTTCTGTCGGGTTTGTCTGCAGATGTGAAAAGAGTGGCTGCATTTATCCTGCTCGTGTGGAGCACCAGGCAAATGCACAGCCAAAGGGTCCAGTTCAGTGGCCGGCATCACGGCCTCTCTTTGCAGCCTGGTTTTTCCTCAGAAATGTGTGTCTCCTCATTTAACAAAACCCCTTGTCAGGGGAGCAGGGCACAGAGCTCAGGGGGTATTGTCTGGGTTGCCAGGAAAAAGAAGCCATTTTCTTCCCAAATTGGGGTGCTCTGGGTCACCTCATTTCTCCTAGCTGTCTTGCGGTGTTCAGAGCCAGGCTGAAATCTACTCCTCTGTGAAGCCCTATTCTCCCCCCACCCCCGCCCTAGCCAGTGCCCTCCCCTTCAATGTTAGGGACTCTGTGCCCGCCCCGCCCTGTCTCTTGCCCAATCCTTCTCTCTCACAGGGTGTAACATCCGTTTTTTCTTCCTTCCCATGCTTCAGATCTGAGCATCTTGTCGGGGCTGAGGAGACAGCAAGCTTATGACAAGTCGGGTTTGGCATATCTTAGCTAGGGTTTCTGTGACTGTGAGGAGACACCATGACCATGGCAACTCTTATAAAGGAAATATTTAATTGAGGTGGCTGCTTACAGTTTCAGAGGTTTAGTCCATTATCATCATGGTGGGACATGGTGGCGTGCAGGCAGACATGGTGCTGGAGAAGTTGCTGAGAGTCCTACATCTTGATCAGTAGGCAATAGGAAGTGAACTGAGACACTGGGCAAAGTTTGAGCATACATGTGACCACCTCCACAGTGACACATTTCCTCCAACAAGGTCATATCTACCCCAACAAAGCCACACCTCCTAATAGTGCCACTCCTTTTGGGGGTCATTTTCTTTCAAACAACCACAGGCAGTTTGCATAACTTTAGCTCTGCAAGGGCCCAGACAGGCAGGTCACTAGAGGTCACTGGCTGGCTAGTTCAGCAGAGCCCATGAGCTCCAGGTTCAGTGAGAAGCTGTCTCAAAACATAAGGTGGAACATGATGTGGAGGAGGAAGAGGCCTGATCTTGACCTCTGACCCCTACAAAAATGTGCATATACCCATATAAACATGTACACACACACACACACACACACACACACACACACGAGAGAGAGAGAGAGAGAGAGAGAGAGAGAGAGAGAGAGCCTTCCCAAGATAATCCTGAGACAACCCTAAGTGATCTATCATCCTCTGGGCATGGGCCTCAGTTTAGGGACTTCTATAGAAGGTGCTAGGTACATACACCTACTCCATACAGTTACCAGACTACCAGTAAAAACCAAAGTTCCAAGTCCAATGTGGTGGCACAAGCCTGTAATCCCAACCCTTGGGAGGCTGAGGCGGGAGGATCGTAGCCAAGGCAAACCCAATCAAACAAGAAAGCAAACATACCTTGTTAAGTGTGAATTTCAGAGAAACCTCGAGTGATGGGTGGGAGTGGATAAATCTCACATACTGAGTGGGGGATGCTTATACTCAGAATTGTGTTGAGAATCTCTAATTCCAATGAAACTTGGTATTTTGTAATTCATCTGGCAGCCTTGGCAGCCCCTGCCCTTTTGGCTTCCTCATAAGATAGGCTTAACCAGTAGCCTACAAGCCCCTGCAGGCTGGAAGCTTATCTGGGCAAGCCACTGAGGTATACACACTAGACCCACAGTAGAAAACCTTACGGCAGGCTTTCACTAGGAAGAAAGTGCCTGCGGGCAGAAGTGAAGGGGTCCTGTCCCAGCCAGGTGGGGTGCAACATGGCCGCCCCCATCTCTGAGAAGCCAGTGGGTTCTGAGCTGGGTGTCACATCACAGAGTCCTGTGAGAAGTGACTGACTCAACTTTAACTGTTAACCTGACAGCTCCTGGGGTCATCTGAGAGGAGAGCCTCAGCTGAGGAATTTCTACATCAGACTGACCTGTGAGCATGTCTGTGGAACACTCTCTTGATTATTAATGTAGGAGGGTCCAGCCCACTATGGGCGGCACCATCCCTAGATCCTATAAGTATAAGGAAGCTGGCTGAGTATAAGCCAGGCTGAGAGCCAGTTAGCAGCATCCTCCATGGTTCCTGCTGTAGTTCTTTGTCTGTAAAGGGAGTTTCTTAGTCAGAGGAACTGCTCTGTGGAACAGTAAGTGGGCCTGCCTTCGTTCCTGCCTCTAATTAGTTCCTGCTTTGACCTTCTCGATGATGGACAGAGATCTGGAACTGTAAGCTGAACAAACCTTTCCCTCCCCTTAGTCGACTTCGGTCAGAGTACTTTATCATAGCAACACAAAGGACACCAGGACTGTGGCCTCACTCCGACTTCATACAGGTCACCTCTCCCAGCACTAGTGTGGGCAAGGTGTTCTTCCACGGTCACTGGGACTCAGAGCAGGTGCACCTGGTCACAGACAGCTACACACAGGTCCTTCCCCCAGGCTGTGACGGAGCCTCCTTCAGACGGAAACAGGAACCTTCAGGATGCTCTCTCCATTCTTTGAGTGGAGAGCTCAAGTTTGCAGCAAGGTACAGTTACCTCCTCAACCCTGTATCAGCTCAGCTCCCAACTCAGCCGGCTCCCTCTGCCTTCGGTGCAGGGAGAAGCCCCCACCCGGCCTGGGAATCCCGAACAGAGGAGAGGGGCGTTCATGAGATTTGAGCCTGAACAGACAGGGCAGAGAGGCGGTCGACATTGAGTTGGCCACAGGCTGGGAGGTCAGGCAGGAGCTGGTTTCTTACCTTTGTGACTGGGGACACATGTCTTTCATTTTCTTGGCCGTGTTGGGGATGGAAGCCAATGCCTGCATCTGTAAACTCCTCTCTCTGGCCCTTTTGAATTCTGTCTCTAAAAAGGGACTATGTGAACCAAGGCACCCCAATGCCCCAGGAAGTGCCAGCTACTGGACTTCTGTACCCTTGAGACTTGTGGCTCCTCCAAAGAGAAGAGGGAGCCTTTCTCAGGCCTGGGCCTCTGACCTTTCCCTCCTGTCTCCAGGCTGCTGCTGCTCTGTATGTGTGTGTGTGTGTGTGTGTGTGTGTGTGTGTGTGTGTGTGTGTGTGTGTGTATGTGTGTGCGTGCGTGTGTGTGTGTGTGTGTGTGTGTGTGTGTGTGATACATGGGGGTATGTGTGAGTGTGTTATACATATGCGTGTGTATCTGTTGGGTGTGTTGTGTATTATGTGTATATGTACATGTACATATATTTCGTGCATGTGTTTGTGTGCATGTGTTGCATGCATGTGTTGGTGTTTTGTGTGGGGTGGATCACACATACATGTATGTGTCACATGCATATGCTGGTGTGTGATGAAGAGGTGGGGCTGCACTCTGTGGGTGGAATATTTCAAGGTCATCACCTGCCGGGGGAAGAGTGGCTGTCCTTGCTTGAAAAGGTGACTGCATAGGCTGACATCCCTGTCCCTCACATGTGCTTGGAATAAAACTCAAAAGTCCCTCCAGGCTCTGGGGCCAAAGCGGTCTGCTGTCTGTGGGGCCCCCTCCCCCAGACCAGAGGCTCCCTCCAACACCTCTGTTCTTCCCTGACAGTGCTGTGGCCTCTAACTGACCTGTGTCCCCCCCCCCCTCGAAACTCCTCCAAGCCCTGCCCTGGCTCCCTCCCCCGCTTCTGCTCCCAAGCCGCTGCTGTGTCTCTGACATCCTTCAGACAGTGCTGTCCTCAAGAGCCCCTTCCCCGGGTCCCTCAGCCCACAGGGACTGTCCTCAGGCTGAGCCCTTATCTCCTGCTGGCTGGTTCCTGGTAGGGAGGCGGCAGACACCCCTACCCCGCCCCCATCCCTCGCTCTGGACTTCTCTGAGCTTGAGAAAGCCACATTTGTGCTGAACGCCTGTCAAATCTCACAGCTCTGGCGGCAGGGGCCCTGGGAGGTTCAGGGTCCACCCAGGAGCAGCCCTGCTAACCTTTGCCAGTCCGCAGCCGCAGGTGTGTGGGAGGGGAGATGGGGCAGGCTACCCCATCACCACCTGGCTGTCTCCGGCCTCGCGGATTCCAGGCTGTTTCTCCCACACTTCTCTCCTTAAGTTAAGAGATTAATATGCAAACACCCTTTCCATGGTAGTGTCAGCCTGAACCCTGTGGATTAACTTACTTGATTTAAATACGTATTTGTCTCCCCCTCCCAGCACATATACGAATAAATCCTAAACGCTAAATAAAATCCCCTCGCTCCCCACGTGCTGTGCTGCGCTGCGCAGCTTCTAATCCCGAGTCCGGCGGGCATCCAACAGTGAAGAGGCTCCGGGGCTGCGCGGCTTCGTGTGGAATATCAAGTACCTGGGAGCCCAGGATCCTGCGTGAGGTTTGCTAGGGCCAGCTGAAGAGGTCCAGACCTGGCTGGAGATGCATTGGGAGGGCTCTCAGGAGGGACGGAGACCCACTGGCGAGGGATAAGGGAGGTGTCGAGATGAGGGGCACTTATGCACTGGAAGTCCTCGAGAGATCATGGCCCACAGGGAGCCCCAGGGAGCATTACAATGCAGGTAACCAAGACAGCTCTTTCCAAAAACTGCCTGGGTTGTTTGTTACTGACAATGGGCGAAGCTAATAGGTCCTGGTGTGAGGTGGGCCAAGGGCCGTGAGGCCTTCCTGACCACCCACCACATTGGCCATAAGTCCTGCCCAATTCTTGCCGCCCGCTGCTGCCTCTTTGTGCAGAGAGGGCCCAGTCTCCTGCAGGTCTGGAGAATGAGGGACAGCCAACATCCAGCATTTAAGGCCCAGTAACTCACTCGCTGTGGCCTCCCTGAGACTGGGTGGCCTGGGGACACTCCCCCTCTACGATGGTCTGGAACCTTCCTGCCCTCCTCTGCTCCCGTCAAAGTTCAAAGATCAAAGGCACCTTGCTGATGTGTCTCCTTAAGCCTCCTGCCCGCCCTGCACCCCCACCCTCCACAGGCAGATCTCCCACAGGCACTTTGTAATTTAGCTTTGCCTTTGCTTGGCTTCTGTTCAGTTCTGTTCTTTTCTTTTTTCCTCTTTCTTTCTTTCTTTCTTTTTTTTTTTTTTTAACAGAGTCTTATGTAGCACAGGCTGGCCTCAAACTCCC